TATATATATTATGTAACCGCTAAGTAGCCACCAGTGCAAATATGTCGAACGACCGATATGCTGAGCGATATGCGTATAAATTTATTTAATACCGTACGTTTCACGACGTCGTATTTATCTTCCACTTGTATTTTCAGTAACAGTAAATAGTCATTTCTATTTCCAGTATATCTGAAATCTTTTCCTCGTTATCGATTTAAGTACGACATATCAAATCGACGACGCACAAATGTCTCCAAAAATTACGTTGCTCGTTCCGTTAAATTCCCCGAACGAATTAACGCTTAAATTATCTCAAAAACGTGGTTAAACGTTTAGCGACTTTAGCGATCCGTCTCATCGAGCCACGCAATTGCATCTTCGAAAATGCGAACACGGTAGGGTAGATTTCTCGCGTTATTTTCCTCGCGATCGATAAACCTGGCCGGATCTTTCATAATTTCCGATAATCAATTTTTTTCAAATAAATTTTTTTGAAAAACAGGTTACATCTTCGTTTCGAAAAAGTTCGACCGTACGTTATGTACGTTATGTACGAAGCGTCATGTCTGTATATATCTTTTCGAGGATATACGTATACAGCGAGTTCGTGTGTACTTTCGGGTAGCATTCCGAGGATTTGAAGCTAAATCGTCCGCTTACAGGCGCAGGAAGTAGGAGGGAAACGTAGCCGTTAGCAAAGAGCGGCGCCCACTCGATGCTCGAACCTGTTGCTGCTGTTGTTGCTGTAAACACCTACGTGTCGACAGTGTATGCGCGTGTGCGTATGCGCGCTGTACCGTGCGTGCGTGCGTGCGTGCGTGCGTGCGTGCGTGCGTGCGTGCGTGCGTGCGTGCGTACTGCGTGTCCCCTGGAGTACGGTGCGTAGGTATACACGTGCGGACAGGCGCGACACCCAAGTACGATGTATCGTAGATACGTACGTTCGCACGTGGGCCGAGAGTATGTGCCCAGGAACGAGACGATGTCGTCGAGGAGAGAAAACTGTTGCTTGCATATCGAACGAGAATCACACGCCTCCACGAATCGCTTTTGAAAAACAAATTTTCCTTTTTTTAATTGCATTCTTTCATCACATTCTTTCTCACTGCTGCGGGAAAATTTATGGGAATTCTGCCTACGCCCTAACTATAAAAATGTAGTCGAGGAGAATAGATTTGACGCGGTCAAAAGTTTCAATTGACAATGCAATTCAGTATAGTATAGAGTACAAAAGATTTTTCCTGACAAAAATTTTCCAAAGATAATTTTTTCCTTTCATAAATGTTTCCCTTTTTCTTTAAAGCCTTAGAGATTCTTAAAGGAAAAATGTTCGATACGAATAGAATTTGTTGAATTTATATTGTTAATGCAAATGAGATAATTAGAGGGAAATTTAATCGAAGGAGCAGCTCTTTCACGCGTAGATCGCTCCGTTCATAATCTACGCATATTACGACTATCTCCTCGAACAATCACTAGATACGCACAACGAGCGATTAATTATCCCCTGTCGATTATACGGGGGGCATCCAGTGCCATTATGCTTTCGTTCGACAAGATTTCCAGGCTTAGGGACATCCGGTACGGCTATATGGAACGATGAGCGAGCGATCTTTCTTTTTACTAACGCCATCCATCCATCCATCCATCCATCCAACCAGATTCCCTGCGTCGTCGTGCGTCTTGTCTCTCTTTTCTTCTTTTCTCTTTTTTTTTGTTCCGCATCTCGTTCCTCGTCTCGCACACCGCCCTTCTTCTTCTCGTCATCGTCATCGTCGGTGCCTAGCCTCGGCTACCTTCTCCTCCTCCTCCTCCTCCTCCTCCTTCTCCTCCTTCTCCTCTTCCTACCTCCTCCTCCTCCTCCTCCTCCTCCTTCTCCTTCTCCTTCTCCTCCTCCTTTGCTTTCGTGTAGTATGTCCATCCCGAGTGCCAGGTGTCATTTTCATTGCGGCCGTGCGAGAAGCGAGAGACGCGTGAGAACTTCCGGATGGTTTACGGCGCCCTTCCGGTCCTTCTATTATCCCATTTTAGTTTACCACCGTTCTCTCTCTCTCTC